TTGGATTATATTCATAAAGAAAACTATTTGAATGCTTTCTTGAACTAAATGAGTCTTGAACTAAGTAAATCTGAACTATAAGGCCATGTCAAATTTACAGAAATCTTACAGAAAGCATAAATGTAGCAGAAAATATATAGGTAAGGATAAAAAAAAAAGGTTGAATATTTGTATCGGCAAGTATTTAAATGTAGTAACAGCCGTCTTGCTGAGAGTCCAAGAATCTGCCTAAGAAGACTAAAGTCCTAATTTCCTTCTGTTAGCATTTCCCGAATTGTTTGTGCTTCTAAATCCTGATTGAACTCCTCCTTGACATTTGGAGAACCTACGAGTAAATCAACTCAGACATTATAAAGATTGCAGACTGCTTGCTGTTTGTCTTTTTTTAAGCCAGACAACTTAAGAGTGATCTTGACATCCAGCTGTACATGTTGCTACCAGTGTAAAAGACCTCAAGGCAATGTGATGAAAGGTTACTTAAACTTTGGCTGCCACACTCAGTCAGTATCTATGATACAAAATCTATTCCTTTCACCTGGAGCGGTACTCTATGACATAATGTCTTGCACGGCCTGTTTTTTCATGGAAGTCACAAAATTCCATTTTGCCAACTTTGCCTCAAGTCAACAATTAGAATTAAAGTACGAAATAAAGTAAAACAGCAGGTGGTCTTTTAGGGAGACGTACAGCAAACCAACAGGTTCCCCCCGGGGACCAGTCCTTTCAAGCAGCAGCCTCTGGACCGCAGAATGCCTTGCCCCCGTCTCTCTCCGTGTGACCGACTCTGTTGAATCCCTTAGAAAAAACAGGGATTCAGAACACTTTCATATAGACAAGCTTTTACTTAGATGCACCTGTTATTATTTTTGCACTCTGCAAAGCACTTTGTGTTCTGGCAACTTGTTCCTGGTGTTGCCGCGGCGCGTTACATATAGTTATCACATTTTAATGCAGTCTCTTTCTCTCACTGGCCTCTACATTTCATTAGTAATGAGGAATGATGGCGGTTTATAGAGAATCACTCTCAGTTACACTGCTATGTTTTCCTGGTATTGGTGAATTATTGATGCATAAAATATGTCTGACTGGTTAACAACTTTGAAGGAATTTATGGAAAAGTGGTGTCTGAAGTATGTTTACAATTTTCGCACTGCACAACCTATGGTGGGGAAGCGTAAAATATGTTGCTGTTTTGACTTTCATTCATCTATTGACTAATAAAAATCTTAACTATACAGGAAAAAAAAAAAAAAAAAAAAACTTCATAAATATGGCACTGCAGCAATGAATCAGTATCAGTCAGTAGCTTCGTTTGCACAAACATTGCTGGGGCACTCAAGTTGCTTTCTGTGTCTACTGCACATTTAATTATGTAGGTCATCATTTGTGTACGGTAGACTTCACTGTTTGAAAACACCCAGATTACTTTAAACACATATGCCACAGTTCATACTAAATTCTGAATGAAAACAAAGGGATGTCATTCATTTTGTATTTATCTTCGGCAAGTTTAAACTTCTGCTCATTAAGCCTGTTCCTTTTCTAAAACATTTTAAACTGCAAATCTATGGGAGATTATGACAAAAAGTTTGTACTGGCAGTGTGTTTTGCATGCAAACATAAGACTGCAATATATCTTAGCTAGTTGTAACAATTGTTGATGAAATTCAGCTTGAGACACACAACATCAAGCTTTTCTTTCAGCCATTCGTTCAGAGAATTAGTTGTAGAAAAGAAACATTTAAAAGACCTCTGTCATCCCCAACGCACAGAAGGATTGAATTTCTGATGCACGTCCAATTCTTTGCACATTTGCACAAGGACAATCTTTTCTTATATTTTTCCACAGTTGTTCTTCTATGCTCAGTAGAACAGACATTGATTTACAGTGTTTGTATGTAATCTCTTAAAATGTAGAAAGCAGATTTAATGAAATAACAGCAGTCCTAAAACAAGTTTATGAGAAACACACGCCCTACATGTAGTAGCACATTGTTTAAATTTATGATATAGATTAACTAAAGCAACTGTCAAACAGGGCTGGAAATCAGACATGGAAAACAGTGCAATTTAGAACAAATATCTAGCTGTGAATTACAAAAAGCAACAGAATATGCATACTAGTCTGGGGATTAGGGATTGTGAATGAGTATGACTTTGACTCACGTCACACTTAAGTCACAAAAACAGATTTGAGCATTGGACTTGTGCCGATGCAAGACTTGACTTACACTCAATGTCTGGAACTGTGGCTTCATTAGTAGTCTGTATTTCACTTAATCAGTAGTAAAAATAAGGCAATAAGTACAAAAAATAGTAAGGGATTATTGTTGTTTCCTCTGTCTAGTCACCGAGCAAATGTAACAGTAAAATGTTCCCGGATTCAGGATCGGAAGCCATGTTTTAAATTGCTTTATTCCTATCTTTTTCTGTTTTTAACTTTCCGAAGGATCTACTGACATCTCAAAATGCATCACATATTTATTTGTATTTATTTTACTATCATATCAAAGTGACATGATGTTACTACATGCCACTGCATACTGCCAGTGCATGGCATCAAGAACCAGTGAGTGCTTGGTGTCACGGTAACATCAAGCACATTGTGCAAGGGCTTTCTGTACTGTTTCTCAATAATACATGTGCATAAAAGGAAGCAAAGGCAACTTCTAAACTCATGTGTTTTTAATGCCACCATCAAGGAAGTATTTACAGTAATTAAGCCACAACTGCAGCTCTGACAGATGTACATATATTTTCATCTGAAAGAATGTGTTTTGAGTTTTTAAACAGAGACTTTCACGCACAGTTGGCTATTAATGATTCATAACAACCTGTTCACCTTTGTTGTAGCTTCATTATAATCCCCCATTATTGCCCCTCAAGCTGCATATTGAATTAAATGACTCTAGGTCTTTTCAAGCCAAAATCAACTTAACTGGCCAACTTGACATCCGAGTCTCTCATTTTTGCATCATTTTTTTCTTCTATAACAATATTTCCCTATGTGCTGTATTCAGAAAGGTGTACCAAATCCTCAAAAAAAGAGAAAAGAATCACTATTTGCAATCTTGGCACCATTTTTTAAATGAATTATGGGGGAGAGGGGTATGTAAAATCAACTTTATTGAGCTGTATTTTGTGTAATGATATTCCCTCACCAAAAACATACTTGCAGATTTTCAGAACTATGTAAAGCGAAGGCAAAGCAAACAGTAAAATAATGAGATACTTGGCTGACATGTTTGTACAACAATGTTTAACGTTGAAGTTCATATAAATGTTTAATCATCAAATACGGTGAGGCAGCTGCTGACCTAATTAAACTGCATCACAGTTTTGCTGACTGGGTTTCCTGTCTTCTATCAGGAGGACAAACAAGGCCGGCTTTCCTTGTTTGACATTTTATATAAGGAGTCGGCAACAGGAAATAAATAATTGATCATTGATAATTAGGTAAACAAAATTAACGTTTTCCACAACAGACGCAGATTAAAAGCATTCTTATGGTTTCTTCATCTGCCTGAACACCTGTGTATTTTATATTATGTTAAAAAAATTTATTTACTTTTGTGCTTCGTTTGTTTTGCATGTCTCATTAAATTATATAGGCTCATGAATATTTTAATTAGTTCATGGGCATTGTTGAGTAAATTCAGTCTTATATTTCTGGAATGAATTTAGTCTAACTATTTCACTTAAGTACTCTTCAGTCTCTTTAGACATGTTTAATAATACATGATACAACTTTTCTCAGAGTCAAAAGGCACCAGCATCTTGCGCTTCAAAAACTTTAGATGCAAATTTATGCTTATATGTGTTAGAGGGCTTGGAAATTCACAGCACATAACAGCACTAACAGAAACTGAAGCTATTTCATCAGCCGGACTTTCACAACTGCTGTGCATTCTACTTGGAAATCTGTAATTAGTCACAACATGTGAGATTTCTCGGTCGCACTCATCCTCTTTAATTTAGCAACATGTAATATATATAGTGATGTTTTTTTTTTTTCATTGGCCGCTCTTTACCAGTGTTATTCATAAGGCTTCTAAAAAAATTGATTTCTCACACCCCATGTTGCATCTGGCGCAGACTGACAGGAGTGGTGAACCAGGGGGAAATGTTCGGAGAACACGGCAGTAATATCCAGCTGAAAATAAATGTCAGCAATAGGGTGGAACACAACACTCCAACATAGTGTCTCTGTTCCCAGAAGGGAATGTAATAGGGCTGTGACATTTAAGCAAAGCAAATAAAAAAAGTAATAAAGCCCAAGAACACTGAGCAACTGAGACGTACAGGTGTGATCAAACAGGTAATGCAGGTCACACCATCTACCAAGTGATGTCCTTGTAATTACTGCTATCATGCACTAGTTTGTAATTAAAAAAAAAAAATGCTAAGACAATTCCCATCAGAAGTTTACTGACAGCATGAACACTGTTGCTATATAAAGTTTGTACATTATGTAATTGAAATATTCTGTTTTTCAGAATGTGATCATGCAGCAAACAGCTTCAGCAAACTTTGACAATGAGAGAGCAAGTTTACATTTACTTCACACTTAACGAGTTAATTTCCTGACAATATTTGCAAAAATAAATACATTTTATAAACTCTCATCTAGTATAAAATGATCTCTTCTCCCATATAATCTTCTCATATACGAAACAATTCCACACTATGCACAAAGTTTCTGCCAAAAGTCATGTGATAGCTCTGCGCTGCAAATATTACTGGGAGACTTGTAAATATTTTAGGCTTGTATTTATAATTTTGACACTGTATCGATTTGAGTTAATAAACCTAAAAGTCATGTTTTTGGACTATGGGACCCATTCATGAATATACTAACTATGCAGAAAGACAATCAACCCAGAACCTTCCTACTGTAAGACAACAGTGCTTCCAACTGTGCCACCATGCAGTAAATTTCTTAAGATTAGAGGTATTGTTAGTTTGCGACCGAAGAGAAAGACAGACTGGAGCCAGCAGTTGTAGAGTACTCAATACTTTTCTCTTATCTTTAGTTCAGTTCAGTACACAGCATGGCATATCAGGTCACAACAAGAAGAGGGAGAATCTCTCCCTCACCTGAACAACCTGGCTTTTAAAGGATTGGCTCCCACCAGGACTAATTAGAGGGGTGGAGACAATCACATTTTCAGAAAGAAAAACATTTGCACTAAACTATTCCTACAAAAAAAAATGTCTACACAGTTACAATTAACTCAAGCAAAACTAGAAACAAAAACAATCTGGGCCCAAACAAAATCCAAAATACATCTCTGCTCCCTCTCAGAAAATGGGTTTTCCCCAATGAGGCTGATTGGAAACACCAGGTCCTTGTCAGCACTGCTCATGGGCGCGCTTCCATGGCAACATATAACCAGGTGACCTCAAAGAGATGAGAAGATGATTAAAACAAGTAAATAAATCAAACCACCTCCCAAAACAATACATCCACCCAAATAAACCAGAATATACAAAGCACACAAAAAACAGCACCTGTTAGGGAGGGGGTAAATCCCTCAGAGGTATATTGGGTGATTGTTTTGTCCCACCAATAGGTTTTCAGAAAACTGTACATTCACTGAAATGGTAAATATTTAAAACCTAGAAAATGCTTCATTTATTAAAAAAAATATAGGAGAAATAAAGAGAATAAAGGATAATAACAACAAAGCGTGCAGTTACCATTAGTGGCTATACTTTCCCTGTCAGTGTTATTGATGGCAGACTGAACGTCTCCAAGGCTTCACGCATCCATGTGTGACAGAATGAGAGAATCCGGATTGTCAGTGAGAAAATATTTGTGTTTATCAGTCAGCACAGCTAGCTTCAATAAAACGCAGTCTGTTACATACTGTAGCTAAATGGCATGCCGCAATGCCTCCTTCGTTCTGATTGCTTCCCCTTGCACTGTCCCCTGTTGTCCCTTTTGACAGAGAGGCTTGACGGATAGATCACAGAGATGCACAATCATTGCATGGTAGAGACTCGGATGGAGTGCACCCATTATTCTAAAGCAAAGCTGTCTGCCGTAGCAAGGCCTGCGAGCCACATGGTGCCATGATAGATGGGGACCATTAATCAAGGCAGGACGGAGCCCTGAGATTGATGTGCAGAAATTCAAATGCTCAAGCAGCATTTGGAAGATTGAGGCTGTGTGGGTAAGGATGAGAGGCTAACTTTCTTTTGGAGAAAAAAAAAAAAAAATAGGTGTGATTGTGGATCAGCTGTCCAGAGGAGACCAGTGATTTTCACCTAATTGGATGTAATTATGAACGAAATATCTGCAAAACATATTTTGAAATAAGATTAAAATTAAGAGCATTTGTGTCTGTTGTGTCATTCCACAAACCCCCCCCCCCCAAAAAAAAAAAAAAAAAATTTTTTTTTTTTTTTAAAAATTTTGTTTTTTTTCCTATATTTTAAAAAAAAA